AATTTATTTATTGATCCATTTATATATTTCTGCTTTTTTTTCTAGTCATGTCAGTGTCGGTCCTTCATACTGCAGAACTTGGTAATTCAATGTCTGAATCAGGTGTGTTGGAGCAGGGAAAATCATAAAACCTGTAGGGCTGCGGCCCTCGAGGACCAGGATTGCCCACCCCTGGGTTAGAGTCTGGCCTCTTTTCATACCAGAAGAGAACTGAAGCGAACCGCACCAGAGTTCGTTTGGAAGCGGACCGAGACCACCTCAAAAAGCAGGTCTCGGTCCGGTTGTTTGATCCGCACCAGAGTTCGTTTGGAAGCGGACCGAGACCACCTCAAAAAGCAGGTCTCGGTCCGGTTGTTTGATCCGCAGCAGAGTTCACGAGTGTATTCACACCTGCACAAAAGGTCCGGACCAACGCTGGAAACAAACTCTGGTTCGTTTAAAGTGAACCAAATCGTCAGGTCTGAATACACCCTAAGAGAGCTGTACAGAAACAAATGTCTGCAGATCTAAATGACGCAATGTTGTAAAAAAAAATCCTCCACAGTGATGTGAGATACTAGTGAAGTCATGGAGAAAACCACTTCTGAGCGTTACGGCTGCTGAACAAGGTGCTGAATAATGTGACAAACCTTTTTCTTTCTTTGCAAACTACTTTCTACTGTGGCTTCATTTTTGTTTATAAAACAATGGCATAGTGGTATTTGTTGTGTGATTTTGCACAAAAAAGTTTTATTTGAATAATTTAAAAAGCTGACCTGGTGAAAACAAGATATTTTTTATTTATTTGTTACTTAAAGCCAAGAACTGAAGGAGAGAGGAGTTTCTTTCTTCAGTGACTGTAGTTCCAATCTAAACTGATTTTGTTCTGGGATTCTGAGACAATAATTAATGTTATCAATATGTGTATGGAGCTAAATTGGGGTCATAAGTTTTGTTCAAAATAAAACGTTTTTGAAACTGTAAAAAAGAGATTTGAAACTAAACAATAATTTTGATATTGGAAAAAAAATTTAAATTGAAAAATAATTTTAAAACTGAAAAAAATATTAATTTGAAACTGAAAACAAAAATAGTTGAAACTGAAAAGACAAGTGAGGTGAAATAACCACGTCTTCTGGTTCTGTGGAAAACTGCTGCTGCTCAATGAAGAGAGAACTCTGAAACAGGCTGGTTGAACAGCAAGAATTTTTATTTTGCAGTCCAGGAGATTACAGCCAAAAACCAAATTATGGCCTCCAAGCGAAATGATTCACCAAGTAAGAAAGATGAAGAACGAAGACCAAGGGTGGGGGCGTACAAGGCTCTTTATAGGCTTCACAGATGTACCATAAATTTTGTCACGGTATACCTTAAGTGTTCCTCTTCCTAATATGGTAATATGTGCCGAGCTCTGAAGCTGAAAAACTAAGAGACATCACATCTGTGCATTCCTGAGAAGAGGCCCCCCACTCTTGGACACTACACAAGATGTTTGAAAATTTTCCTGTTTCTAATATATATTTTTTTCGGTTTCAAATCTTTTTTTGAGTTTCAAATCTTTTTTCCAGTTACAAAATTATTTTTCAGTTTCAAACACTTTTTATTTTGAACAAAAGTTATGATCCCAATTTAGCTCCATTTATGTGAATAACAGTTGACATCTAAACATTTCTACTGGTGATCACAGAAAATATGGAGGACCAAACCTATCATTATTGGAAATAAATGTATAAATATATAACTGGCGTATTAAAATAAATTATAGGGTCAAAAAGAAGTTTGACAAATAAATTATTGTGCCATTAAATCAATTACATCAATTATTTAGATATAAATGTGTATTTACATTTTAATTTTGAAGGATTATAATCTCAATAAAACATATAAACTTTATTAAGCTGTAAATGAAAAAGCCTCAAACTTTCACCATCATCACAGAGG